GCAAGCAAAGCTCCGGAACAGCGTCTTTCAAATGCCACGAGGACACTGTGTAAGGACCACAACCGCGCTCCGAATGTCTGCGAACAACCAAGCTGACCTCTGACATCTTTCTACCCAACCTGCAGGAAATCCGCAGGTCAACTAAAGCAACAGAACAAATTGGTATTTTTGATGAGACCAGATTTTCCATCTGCACGAAACCAGCAGCTCCCAACCGAAGCAGCAAAGCAGCGTGTAAAATTCAGCCAGTCCCAAGCCGTTCTGTTCTCTTATTTCCCAGCTCCATTGATGGAGTTGCAGACATGGCTAGTCAACAGGGGAGAGCAAAAACCCCCAGCTCTCCAAGCAGGCTTTGTCCAGCAATAAGAAGGTTCCTTACATTGTCACCACCTCTTCCCTTCACATTCCCAACCCTTTGATTCCATATAAACCATCGAATAGTCTGATCTTAGCCCACCTGCAGTCTATGCGCTGTCATCATGCCACTCCTGGAGATCCAGAAAACACTCCTTGCCCCTCTCCCTGCACCACCGCAGATCCTCTGCGTCCCAACCTGGGCTTTTTGGTGTAAATTCCCATGCCAGGGACATGTTATCTGGGCTAACAAAGCATTGTGAGTTTGTATCACTGTAGGAAATGTTTAATTATTGTTTTTCTTTTGGAAAGTATAAAACGAACAAAGCAATTGTATTATTTCCCCTAAACAGCTGAATATTAGCAGTGAGTGAACTGCTCCTCAAATACCCCTTTATGGGAGCTGTTTGATTAAATCCACTTGCTGGCCCTGAAATCCTCAAATTCAAACTCAGCACTGGGACATCTCTCTACAGGAAGGCTCCAGCCTCTTTAAAAAACCCCTCGGAATACATCTTAAAATATTTCATAGAAGAAATATTATTTTTTTAGTGCTGTGAACTACCAGAAGGGACGGTGCTGTGTGCCAGCCTGCGATGCCAGTTGAATACCTGGGACACTGTTAACGGAGGGGCTCTGTCCTTTGCTGGTGACATGAGGCCATCGGATGGGTCCCTTCTGTCTCTAACCGCTGCCACAGGAAAATCAGAGAAAAGAGGGCTGACAGCTCTGCGAGCCCTTCCCCTGCCCCACATAATAGAATCTGCAAAGCAAAAATAAGGTCAGACATCTTCCAATTGCGGCAATAGGAGAGCCGGGAGATCATTTCATATCTAGCTCTAGCAAAGGCTAAAAATAAGCCTGGTGCGAGGCAGAGGACAGAATGTGAAAATGGATTATTCTCATTTTTCCTGTAATGTAATTTGCAGATGTGCCGTGTTTAAGACAGCAAAAAAAGTGTCTGGAGTAGGGATTGTTCTTTGCGTGGCTTGCACTATCTAGCCTGTAGTGAGTATTTTCTTTGTAGAGTCCGTACCCACCGCTTTTAAATGAAACCTTCATCAGCGCTGCTCCTTGCTACTGAGCGAGAGTTTCCACACCTGGTCACAGGTGGTAAGAGTCAATTTTATTTTTCTTATTAAATGCTTAATTTTAGGAGAGAAGAAAAACCTACTAGAGCTGTTCAAATACCCTGATACTTGTCATCTAAACAAAGGGGTGAAGCACTGATGCTCTCCCTGAAGTGCAGAGCCGTGGGCAGTTAAACACTGACATTCCTTTGTTAAGACCAACGATTTCTTCCTGCTCAGGGACACACCCTGCAGTTGCATCCTGCTGCCTGATCTGCATTGCTGGATCTTTAGTGAAAACAGGCAGCGTGCATCGTGCAGGATGGAGAGAGGGGCTGAACAATGAGAGAACCTGGATATCCCCCCGGAGCATCTGCCTGTACCTCTGCAAGGGTAGGGGAAAAAATAGAAAATCTCGTGCTTCCAGGTATAAAACCAGGGATTAAATAAAAAGATGATTTGAAAAAAAAAAATCCTTTGAGGGGTAGAGTATCCCACACCTGCACGGGGCGGGGGGGTTTCTCTGGAAGAGTTTAGGTGAGTTTGGCTTTTGCCTTGGCAATAGCTGGGGGTGGCCGTTGCTGGAGCCAGGACTGCAGCATCACCCTGCGCCTGCTGCAGAGCGTCCGTGGCCCTACGTGCCCCTGAGAGACGGAGGATCATTGCTCAGCAAAGCTCCAGATGCTGAACACTCACGCTGACTGCCCAGGAAAGTCCTGTTACACACTAAATACATTACAGTGATTTATACGCCCTGGCACCCAAAACTTGTCACAGCCTGGCGAAAGGACTTTTGTATTTTTTCCCTTTCATCATAAAAGCAGCACTTTCTTCCCAATTCCTGGTGCAGCCGTTGCTTCTAACAAGTACCAGCGTAGGATTTCTTCTGCAGCTCTCTAGGGTGGAGCTTTGTTTTTTCAAGTTATCTGCATGATGAGCAAGAAGGGGCCACGGACAGACCACAGAGGCAATTCTCAGCAGCGCTGAGCTTTCACATCCAGCGAGTGAAGCACCTGAAGCGCTCCCGACCTCTGCAAGCTGCCTTCTGGCTGGTATCTGCCCGGTGATGGAACAGAAGGAAGGTCAGCACATCTCTGAGCCGTTCTGCAGGGCTCTGCCACGGCAGGACGGTACTTGTACGGATCGTCTTTCAGAGCATGGCTTGGGTCTGACAAATTTTCATGAAGCAGATATGAGAAATACAGTACAGAGTGCAGCTATGGTCAGAAATAAAATCTGTCTGCCTTCACCCTCCCCTGCAGTGCTACGGAAAGGAACAACAATGCAAGTCAAGAGAAATCACAGCAAGCGTTGTAGTTGAGTGGTTTAAAGAAGAACTGAAGTATTTATTATTACTAGTGCGTGAGAGCTCTTACAGAAACCATTCTTAACCATCTTCTCTCTCTTTATCACTTTGGAAGGGTGGGAGATTAAATTTGTGTTCTGGAAATGGCACCAAGAAGGATGGGGTTATATTGCAGAGTGATGTGCTGTGTCGCCTTCTCTGCTAGTCCTAAATTTACTGCAAGCCTCTTTAAGCCGTCAGACTCCCGAAGCACTATAGAAATAGTTATGAAAGAATTGTGATTTTAAAAAAAACCAAACAATTGCAGTCTAAAGAAATCTTTCTCACGAGTGTTTTTTTGCGAGGGGCAGCCTTATTGACTGGAATTCCTGTGCTAAAAGAGTCATCGACAAAATATGCCAGGAATTGCGGCGATGAGAAAAGTCGCGTAAAAAAAAAAAAAAGTCACGAGGCACTGAAAGCCTGGAAATTCTGTTTTTGAAAGGAAGTGTGGTGGAAACTGGAGGAAGCTTTACAGGAAAGAGAGGTTGCTCTCCTGATACTCTGTCCTGCCTGGAAGAAGAAATTATCCCAACGCAAACACCCAGCGACCGGCACACAAAGGAACAAACAGACGACAACATCCCAGCAATAAACCCCTGAACTACTTTTCACAGAAGCATGGAAATTAAAGCAGGGGAAGCTTAATTTCCAAAGGCAGGACTACAGAGAGCAGCGTTACAGGGTTTTGCTTCCGTATGAGTTCATTAGAGAGGTCCGTGACACCTCACCCGTGTGCCCGACCCCTCCCGGTGATGAATGGGTTTAATCTCTGGCGTGTGACACCGGCGTTTGCGATTCCTGCAGGTTAATTGATTTCTTTTGGCAAAGCACCTTTCAAAGTCCTGTTGGCTGAGCAGCATGACTGACTGCAGAGGGAAAACAAGGCATCTTGCAGAAGAAATTCTCCCGTACCCAGCCAGTACGGGGTAGGATGCGAGGGAGGACCGGCCAGCAGAAAGCTCTCCTTGCCAACGGCAATGCCCGGCGCAGATGGGCAGAGAGGCGGGAGCTGGACGTCACATTTGGAGTCCAGCATGGAGTTTTAAGCTGCTAAGAATAGTAAAACGCTCCGTTGTCTTTTCTCTCACAGGCAAGCACGCAGCATAACAAACCAATCCTCCCCCGTCAGTTGTTCCGAGAAGACCACCGAGCCCGTCAGCATGGGCAGACGGGACGCTGCCGGCAGCGCAGACCCCGCTGCAGGCGGCAGGGACAGAAGCAGCCTCACTCTGTGGTTGCCAGCCTTGCTCAAGATCCTGTCTCACTGCTCAGTAATGTGTCAAATCTGAACTCAGCTGTGCTCTCCTGGAATCTAACTGGGGGATGCCGGAGTATTTTTAACGTGGGAGTGGGCACATCCCAGAGACAGCGCAGGAGGAGTCATTGGAGAGAACTCACTCTGTCAACCGTTATTTCTGACAACGGGTCTCCCTCTGTATCTGAGCCAGTTTGCAACATGAAAGATCCGTGGCTGGATAATATAAAATTCATAAATAAAATGTAAAACAGACAGACCAGGAAAGGGAAGGATGCTGGAAGAGAGAGCCCAACGAAACCAGGTCTGAAGCCTGAATAGGTTTCTTCCAAAAGTGTCCCAGTGCCTGGCTGGGAAGCTGGAACACCCTGAATGTGAACAGAGGACAGCCAAACCCGCGCAGGCTGGACAGCAACAGACAGAAATAAACGGCCTGTGCAGGAGAAAGCAGAGCTGTGGGACGTGATCTCCCTCCCCCAGCAGCACTGCTGCAAAGCTGACGGTGCATTGTGAACCATCCTGTGAAACACCCACCCTGGCACACCCCAGAGTCAGCCCCGGAGCACAGCCTGGGACCCGCCGTGCCTCCAGAGAAAGCTCCTCCGCGAAAACCCCGCTGGAGCAGCGATGCCAGCCAGGTACTGCCAAGCATCGCCCAGCAGAGAGGTCCCAGGGGGTCAGGCAGGCTGATGGAGATGGGAGTGACCCAGAATTCACCAACACCTGGGTACCGAAATCCTCCTCCACCTGAGACGCTGTCACGCCCTGGGACACGGATCTCCAGCGTTGTTCTAGAGCCGATGCAAAGGTTCAAAACCGGTGCAAGCCGCAAGAACCAGACCTCCTCCTCCCCGTGGGAGAAAGGCACAACACCAGGCTAGTCACCTGCCCACGCGTTCAGCATGACATTATACACAGATACTCTTATTTTTTGACAATGATGAGAAAGAGACTAACCCCAGAAGTTTGTATGTCATGTGGAAGCGTCTTCTGAATTACTGTAGTTGCCAACCGTGAGGTGGTCCGAATCGGTTTCTTTACTGAAAAACAGTAGCTTTTTTTTTACAAGCTGCAATAAGGGACTGGGAAAGACTAGCTTTAACAACAGCGACCCTTCAGCACGTACGGCCCCACATACACAGCTTTCATCCTCCTCGCCTGACGTTCCTGTGCAGTGGAGGCAGTGAGCAGGGTGCCGGGGGCCGAGATGGGTCTGTGGGCTCCAAGTTGCCCACCCGGCTCTGCAAAGTATCTCTTGCTCTTCACCTGGACTGGTTCCAGCACGCAGCACCCCCTCATCCCAGCTGGCCTGGGCAGTGGCATGCTCACGCGAGGGCAGAAGGGGTCTGTGATCTCAAACGCTGTGCTCCCCTCCGGGCCGTACGGCCAACAACCGCGATCCACCGAAGCAGAAGCGTGTGAAGGACGCCCAGCCAGCACCCCCCAGCCCCTGTGCTGCGTGCAGCCTCATGCACTCCGCTGAGCTGAGGTTCTGAACACACAGCCCCACGTTCTTTGCCTGGCAGGACCAAGGCCAGGGAAAGAATACAAGCATAAGGTTCAAGACAGAAAACAGGCTTCGGTACCTCCCCATTTGCAATCGCTGGGTTACTCACTGTTGCTCAGCTTTGGCTCGGTCACTTAGGAAGAAGAGAGCTGTGGCCAGGAAAAACATCCCTCCTAGGACAACGACAAACGGGCAGAGCATGAGAGCGTACCCCAGGCTGAGGAACTCCCAGACCGGGGACTCCTTTGTGCTTTGTCGGATCAGGTCTGAGATCTAGGAGAGAAGAGCAAAAAAATTAGTCACTTCGATGAAAAAGAGACGTGATAACGGTGAACGGAACACGATTCCCTCAACAGCCGCCCACTGCACATGTGCATGAGGTTTACACGGAACAGTGTGTTCAGGGAAGGCTGAACGTCCTTTGTGTGCTCCAGCCTTCACCTGCCACTCTGGAGCCTGGGCAGCTTATGGTGTGAGGTTCTCCTCTCCCTGCTGCTCTCCTCGCCTCGTCTATTCTTCCTCCCGGAGCCCTTTTCATCTCCTCCGGGGCTGCGTCAGCAGCTGAAGGCGGGGCTGTCCAACCTCGCTGTCCTCACCGAGCCTCCCGGGCTGCCCGCAGGGCTGCACCAGCATCGCTCGGTGGGCGATGGAGACATCAATCTTCTCCAATTTCTATCAAGTCCTGCTTCCTCCTTCACCTTACCTGCCTTTCAGATATTAAATTCTAACCTCCTAAGCGTGCTGCAAGCTGAAGTGTGATTGTGAGCAAGATGTGACTCTGCCCCGCGGGCTCAGACCAGCTTTGCTGCACCGGGGCTGCGCTCACACCGAAGAACCACCCACCACCGTGCTCTGGGCTGGGGCAACCTGCGTCTGCTGACAGCCAGAAAGCACGATTACATGAACGTGAGCACATGTTTGTGCTTACACGAAAGAGCAGTGATGTGCAGTGACAGCGTTCAGCTCATTATGAAAAGCTTTGGCTAAATCTCAGTAATATTTAGTGACCGTCTGGAGCTGAAACAATCCCATTGTCATATTTACTGTCCTGCAGACGACATTACTCTCCATAAATCCAACAGAGGGAAGCAGCAGTAGGGCTGGGTCTCAGGGCATTGGGTATTTAAATGTTCAGCTCTGGTTTTATCTGTGACCTTTTGCTGAGGCAGAAATACTAGTTGATACCAGAAGACTGCAGGGAATTTGCAGCATAAAACCCTACTGCTGTGCGCACACGCGGATCGGTTCCAGAAATAATCAAAGCTTGTGCGGCAACTTCTGAACTGCTGCATCACTGCTCATGGAAATGGTGGTGTCAGACACAAACTGCAAGCAAAACCCAACAATCAAGTCTTAAATTTTGACAACCAAGTCACACACAGGAGAAATCACCAGCTCCCAGGAGGAGAAAATTTCTGTGCTTGGGACACGGCTCAGGAAGTGTTCCTGCCCTCTCCAAGAGAGCTTTGTGTGTAACACACACAAGGAAAAACAGGATTGTCACGACCAAGTCTCGTAAGAACTGATGGTTAAAACAGTCCTTAGACTGAAGGCAAATAACAGTGGCTATTAGTCTGACAGACTTATTAAAAAATCGCAATAAAACTAGAATGTGTAAAGAACACACTCAGAGGAAACGAGCAGAACACGCGCTGCACCCAGAAGGCAGGGACATCCGCTGGCAATTTATTCCCTCTTGTATCCAGACACCTTCATTCCCAACATTTCCCTTACTCTTCATTAGGAACCAAAATTTGGCATTGAGTCAGCCCCTCTGTGTGCAACAGCCAGAATTGAGACTAGTCTAAAGTAGAAATTCAGAAATTCTAAACCACTTTTCATTTCTAGGAACAGATACAGTTATCCTCCGAAAGGACCAGACAATAAATCACTCAACAAATTGATAGGATAAATCAGCAGCAGAGGATGAAAAGCCAGGCAGGCACGCACTCCCGATGGCTTTCTCTTATGGATGACGTGCCATTCTAAGCTAAAACCAGCTTTGAAAATGTAAAGCCTCCAACAAACAGAACTCGCAGTGCAGCTCGCCCCACACCCTCCCTTTTAAAGCATCAAGTTGACCTTTTATACCAACAAATCCTTTTAATATTGAACTGCTGCCTTCTTCATTTCTAACCCAACACAACGTGTTAAGTGCCCGTTTTAGACAAAGCAGTGTTTCCTCCCATCCAGGGTCTAATTCTTCCCACCGAGCCAGCTGGGCTTTCTCATCCAGGTCTCATATAATCCCTTCACCCCAGTCCCCATCTCTGAACTCCAGCCCTTTATCAGGGCCCGCGATGTGTTTCTGCTGTTAACTGACAGTCGCTATTCCCTGTTGTTTTGTTCTGCTCAGTTACAAGCCACCTGCTAGGGCTGGAACTTTGGCATCTCCCCTCAAAAGGACACAAGACATAATTCCAGACTTGGGCTCCAAGAGCGACACGCTGTCTGCCAAATGCTCTGCTCTGCGGTGCCAAGTTTTGGCTTTCCAGACTCCCCGCAATGCTAGCATCCCGAGCTGTCTGACCGGGATTTGGCAAGACCCGGTCGAGCATCGCATTCGGTGTCTTCTCTCTCCCATAACGAGCACAGGCAGTGCCAGTTCTTAGCATGGGGCCATGTGTGGGATTCCTTCCTTTGTCCTGCCAATTGGTAGGTGGCAAAAAAAAAAAAAACCCCAACCTTCAAAACATTTACCCAAACCTTGGGGGTGGAAAATCAGTAAGGAAGTCCCACTCCTGCTCTGCAGTCTAATCAAAAGTCTTTGGTAACATCCTAACCCCGAAAGTTCACATCTTCTTTTCCCTCGCTAACACAGATCTCGGACTAGGAGGAATGACTTTGCTAAATAAACTTCAGCTCGTGGCAGTTTTACAACAGAATACGAATGGCGTGTGTTCAGCTGGTGGCAGCCAACTGGATGGAGTCCAGCTGGAGAAAATGCCCCCTTGCCGGAGAACAAACGATTTATAGCTGCAGCAGGCGTGATCCAAACAGCCAACATCTCCGAGTGTGTCTCAATCAGAGCGCAGAAGACGATGAAGGAAAAAAAGAGAAACTTCATCCCCTTCGTGGGAAGCGTGGGCTGTGAATTTTGGAACAGCGGACAGGCTATGGATGGAATAAAAGCTCAGGTGGGCTGCAGCCCGAGGAAGACAGCTGGCTTCTGTGTCACTGTCCCTCCTGAACAGCAGGAGCAGTTCAATTAAACTGATTGACTAATTAGACAGGGTAATGGTAACATCATCTTTGAAATAATGATTTCATCTATCCCGTGTCTCATTGCTGAGTCGTACATCTCAATTCCTCTGCAATTGCTTGATTTTCCAAATTTCTGACGTTGCTTCTTGGGCACAAATCTCACTAAATAAAAGGATATTTCCACTGCAGTATCTGGCACAAACACCTGATTTTCATTATGACCAATGTGATCCCAGCCAGGTTCTAATTTTAATGTAATTGAAGATTAGAAACCAAAAATAAGGGATTTTATACAGTAAAAGTAAAAAAATTGCTAGACTTGCGGGGGAGCGCAAACATTTATACCGTGCTTAATGACATGAGAAACACATTATAAAAAGAGGAGATAAAGCCAAATATTTTCTGATACTTATTCTGAAAGCCACAGAAAGGTAAAAGCAATTATATCCTACAAGTTATTTCAATTTTAACATTGGCATGTTTGGATATTAGAGGGAAAAAAGCCAAACACCCTGTTCACCTTAATCGTGTCCTTTTGCGGTCGCACACAAATTGAACACTTGGCTGGTGACAACTTCGCCAGCCGGCATCCGTGCGTGTGCGGTACCCAGCCTGCCCCGGCGATACCCGCAGCAAGGGCTCTGCACTGCGTCCCCGGTGCCCGGCTCCCCTGCCCGTGCCCCCGTACCCCTCCCAGCACGAGCAGCCTGCACTAAGCGGTGCTTCCTTGAACAGGCTGCGGTTAATTAAAACACTCCATCAAGGGTTCTGCTGGCAGTGCCGGCACATGGACCTTGTACATCTCCTGGTGTCAGAGCATCGTTTGCCTCCAGACAACATTCGCCCTGGAGAGGGTTGAAACTCCTTTTTTTTTTTTTTCATGTTACTAACCACCTTTCTCTCCGGGTCTGTCTGCCCGTGGGGTTTGTAGGAGAACGCTGGACTCTCCTCTGTCCCAGCAGGAGATGCCCTGTACCCTGGGGACGGTGGCACCGAGGCACATGGCTCACGTGCCGGGGTGGAGGGACCTAAACGTGTAGGCATGGGGGCTGCCCGTTTCCATGTAGAAATGAGGTCTGTGGCACAGCATCCCAATTTCAAAGCACAGCCTTTAGCAGCATCCCTGTCCCCAGGCCAGAGGCAAGGACACCCGTCTGTCCTCGCAGCACAGGTCCCGTCCCCGGCGGGATGTCCCAGGAGGAGGAGGAGGTCATTCCCCCACGTTGCAGAAATCAGACACCGCATTCTGAAGGGTGCTCAGCACTGTGAAAACTCTGTGTCCGTACTGGGAGTTTCCAGGGACCCTGGCAGCTCAGCAAGCAGCCACTTGTTTAATGAGATTTTTAATGCAAAGAGCAGATGGGACAGAGCTTGAAATACTTGAGTGAAACAACGATCAGCTCTGGATTTCTGTGCTTTCTTTAATGAGATACATTTACAGACTTTAAATGGCTGTTTACAAAAAACACTCAGAACCTGCACTTCTAACCAAAGTCACGGGAAATGGCAGGTGCACAGCAGCTCTGGAAATAAAGACACCAGGCTGTGAACCCTTGGCAAAGGGCATTTTCTATATGGGAAGTCATTCGGTTTTTTTAGGGCAGATTGAAGTCTTGTCTGTTGCTGAGTCATCACAAGTGGGAAGCTTGTTAGCTCGTTGCAATGAGGAGACAAATCCTGGGTGGATTGGTCTCCAGGTGCTTAATTCTCCCCCTTTTTTTTGCAGCCGACAGCCACATCCAAGATTTGGCCTTTCTGTGTACTATGAAAAAGGCTTTTAATTACTCAGGTCAGCCAGGGTTGGAGAAATCCTCAGAAGTTCTGCTTGAAGAAACAGGTAATGAGGAGGAGGGGCTGGGGGCTCTCTTCCTCGCAGTATTTCCCCAGCACACATACATCAGATGTTGGACTGAGGGGTTGAGTCCCATTTTCCTCGTGACAATCTGCGTTGCGAACGTGGGGGAAGGTCTCTGCAAGAGGAGCGATACCTGTAGGGCTACAGAGCAGCCGCCAGGCAGCCGGAGCTTGGTAAAGAAACAAAGAACAGAAAACACGAACGTGTATCACAT